TTATTATTATTATTATTATTATTATTATTATTATTTCAATAAGTAATTTAAATTTTTTTCATGTTACGTTAAATGTCGACTGGTGACAAAATGAAAATTACGCCCTACCGCTTCTATAGTGGTCTCGTATTACAAAATATATGAAAAGTCATAATAATTCTATTATGAGTACGATGAACGATGATTGAGTAATTTAACTGTCTTTACCGCGACAGTACGCGAAGGGCAATCTCAAATTACAGCAGACTGTCACTATTTATCCCTACGGGTACGCTTCTATACGGTAATTAGTTCGTCAATTTGCTGAAGACGCGCTATATAAGAAGTCATTACAAGTTACCGGGTGCAGTTCTCATAGTTTTTTCGAGCTTTCAAATGGTATAAATCAGTTAGGTTCAATTTAGCACGTGGCCGATTATCGATTGATTTTCCTTCTTATTTATTTAAGCTTTAGGCTCTTGATTTAAATTAATATTTGAATTACACTTAATTTTTTTCCTATCATTTATCGACCTCTAGCTGTACCTCATATTCATGACGTACCCATTTGGCAGTTGGTTTGATCATTATTTCAGTGGTTTACTTTTATACTGTTTGTTCACATTCTTAGTTCATTTAAATAAAAAGAGTCAAGCCTGTGCTTAATAATTCCTCTCCTGTTATTCCTTCTCATATTGCTATATTATTTCTTGTAGATAAATATTATTACTTGAACTACTGTTGTACGTATCACAAAGTATTGGTCCTATCAAAGTCTGTAAAGATTCAGAGTTCAACTGAAATTAAAAAGTGTTCAAAAGAAGTTCTGCGAACGTTGCCGACCAGAATCGTTTGCAGTGAGTGAAACGTAAATTATTATGATTCAGATCCCATTAGGAACACTGTGAAGCAACAGATTGTTCTCCGACTAAAAGAGGTGTTGGTGGTTGCAACAGTCTTGAACGAACGGTATTAAATCAGCAACTTTGATGCAACGCTTTAGAATGTCTCAAATCTAAAAAGCATCAAGTTTTTTCAAAATTTTAGAAATGTGTGTCTACTTAAGTCTTAGAGCAGTAAGAAAATAATTATGAATTTTTACCAAATACTACACTTTGGATATCGGTGCTCATTAGAAAAGTGTTGTCAAGAAAAGCAGACAACAGATCATGCTAGAGAGTACTGTGTAGAAGGAGCTGGTCGACGAAGATTATTCGTTGTTAGTTACCGAGTAATGTATTGGTTTTGGTCATACATCATCTTTTTTACGTCAACAAGTTCCTTACTGTTTTGGTTTTTATTAATTGATTTTATAAGACTTACGCATAAGACAGCGTTCAAGTTGTGATTTGAATTTGGAGTTGTTTTAGTTCTGCATTAATCAACTTCTTGGGATTTCAGATTAACACTGTGTTACCCGTACGAAGCTATCACTTCGTTGTTCGGTATGGCGTCGATTTCGTAAGGGAAACTGCGAGAATTGGTTTTCTAATAATATTATGCTGTTTTTAATAAGCAATAAATATAATAAGTTGAGGACGTGCATAGTAAGTGATTTGCTGTGTAACTCGCCATCATCTTAAGTGCTGCTGCTCCTCCAAAACTATTAGAGCAGTTGCTTACTTAATTATGCATATAGTCGTCCCTAAGTTAAGCTAAACTGAGGAGCTTAAGCCCAAAATGCTGCATAAGACTGGATGGAATTGTAAGAGGGCAAGTGGCTAAGTGTTTATTACAGTGATAATACAATAAGAAAAACGTAAAGAACACGTAGAAAAGATCTTGCGATACAGTCTTTCTTAGATTAACTAGTTGTTTATCCGCGACACAGCTGCTTAAAGTTCTTTTTTGTAGCCACCCTGCTGTAACAAGAATCCAAAAATTTTGAAAGTCAAAACTTCACAACAATTCCATACCACAAAAAATAAATTTCGATGACAGTGTTTCCCTGATTAAATAGATAGACAGACATCGAGGATTTCGTTCTCATTTCTTAAGCGTGCACCTTCAAACTCTTAATTAAACAGACTGTTTTTGTGTTTGCGCTAGATAAGCAATTATACATAAAATATATGAATTTTTAAAACCCTTGAGTGTTTAACATTTTAATCATGAAAATTGCGAATTTCTGTCGATCAGCTAAACAGCTCTTGACCAACTGACTTTAGTGAGAGGCCGGACTCAAACATGAAGGAAGAAAATTGAGCCTCGATCATATTTTTTATCACTAAAAAAGTACATTTTGACTGTAAACAAAAGTCAAACTATCTTTTAAAGTCGATCTAATTGCATGATTTCGAAAGTACACTTTGTCCGTAGAAAGCCACGTCAAAAATTTATTCAAATTGGCTTCTGCACTTGCCGATTATTGAGAAGTTTGCAACAAATCATTAATCACTTTTCGTTCTTGCGAAACGTAAAACTCCTGAAAGTTGTGTAATTTATTCACAATGTACATAACTTGTTTACTATAGTACGTTCATAACATATATGGTTGATCTACCGTCTACACTGTGGTCAACTATTAATCATTCAGAATTAAAGCGGAAGAAAATAATCAAAATGTCTTTTTTTCGCTCCTGGCAACCTAACTTTTTCCCTTAAAATATTTAATTTTCAAATATTTTTACAATTTTCCACCTAAATCACACTAAAAATCAAAATTTTTGTTCCTTATTTTCCAATAGAAAAAAGAAGTTTCCTCTAGGCCACTCTCAATCAATAGTACTGAGATTAACAGTGCCATCAGCCAACGGTAATGCATCGTTACATAATTCAAGATATTATACTGGGCTTAAATTATAATAATTACAGTGGCTATAATTCTTTCAGAACAAAAATTATAGAACTTAAAACCCGAAGAATGGATTATTATACGAACAATCTATGCAGTATTGTAGCAGATGAGAAATAATAAGCATACCTGATTAAGTGAATTGTTCGTAAAAAACAAGTGTTGCACAGAAGAAAAAAATAAATAACAAAATAATAAAAAGAACCTTAAACGAATAAATTACATAAATACAGACATTTAAGGTAATAAAAAACAAAATAACGCACGAATTATTGCGGGTGTATTGCCATGATAGGTGCTTTTTGCCTCCCTCCTAAAAAAAATCTTGTAGTGTAACCTAGTGAAAAATAACTGCCATTACATCAAAATTTTAAAGCGATAACATAAATTGCAAAAGGACAACAATGAAGTTTTAAAAGCTATAGAAAACAATTAAGGCACAGGGTTTTCTTCAGAATCGATATAGTGAAAAAAAGCAAGGGTAAGAACATGATGATGATGATGATGATGATGATGAAGTAGAAAAAGAAGGAATAAAAGCTAACAAAAAACAGGAAGAACAAGAATGATAAGCAGAAAAACAACCAAATAGGTTCGACAATAAAATGTAACAATTATCAGCCAAGGTTTTTCAGCATTAACGATTATGTTGAATAGCTTAAGAAACCCAAAGTATAACAGAAACAGTTACCTGAATTTTCAAAAACAAAATTATTAAAAATAACCCCTCCAATTCTAACTTTTTGTTCACTGTTTTTGGCGTCAACTTTATAAACCCGTTTCAAAATCATCATTAAACATCAGTTAATTGTGCGAAGTCCAGCGCGTGCACAGTACATTATCACATTCCAATTACTCAGGCAAACTAAGTCGTTCTTTTCAACTGTCCCAATCCGATCACCCGATTGTCCCACATTACACATTCGAAGACAGCTGTAAAAAAAAAGAGATATGTTTTTTGTTGTCATTAAAATAATAAACTTTCTTCTTCCTTTTTTCCCCCCTCCTGTACAGAATAAGTGTTCTAAACTCAACACTCAGCTAAAACTCTAGAAACGGAAAAAATGATTGTTGAATAGCACATTTTCATAAATGTACTTATCAAGGCTTCCCAAAATTGATTAACAGCGTCTATACCGTTCGCCGACTCCAAGTTCCGATGATGCCAGTCCCAAATACTCGCAACATTTTCTGTTATCTCTGTTACGATTTGCACAATATAAAATCTTTGTTAAATATTTTAAATTGCACTGATCCTGTTGTACGGCCTGAATTAACGTTTCCGCAGCCACATGTTCCCTGTGTTCAAATGTACATAAACTGTGGCAACTGGATGGGACCTAAAAGAAAGATTTCAAAGTCACAATCGTCTATTTAGAAAAATTTCAACAAATAAGCAAAAAAGACTAGCAAACTGACGTGCTGTCGACAACAACTAAGGAACTGTTCATCAACAAGCTTCCTGGATAAACACGGAGAATATGGTGGCCGAGACGACTCTGTACCACAATCAGATGTTAAATCAGCATCTGTAACCTCAGTTACTGGATACTGTTGATTAAGACGATTGTAATCCACTGACAGTGATGATGACTTGCGATCTTCTTAAAGAGTTATCGTTTACTGTGCGAACTCAAACAATAGAAATATCTTTTTTATGAAGTTGTTGGTTTACCATGAGAAATAAACAAAAAATCTTTGCCTTTTATGACCTTCTGTTAAATTGGTGTTACATATTCTCTCTCCAGAAGAAGTTTTATTTTCCTTCAGCAGTAATAAATAACAGTAGGTCGGCAAAAGTATAGAAAAAGATATCCACAAAAAAGGTAGTTTTTTAAAACTTCGATTCTCAGCTCACCTTTATAGCTTGTCAGCGGCACAACTTCGTTTGGCTCTTCCACCTTTTTCTCCTCGAAGAATCCTTCTGTTGGTTTCGCTGCGTCTTCGACTTCCTCAACAAAACTAACACCAGAAACTTTTGGTTTTGTACCCGATTTTGACATATAATTTTTACTTCTTTTCTCCATATCATCCAGTATCTTAAGAATTGCAGCGTCCTAAAAATCCTCATAATAAATGCATCTCATACTGTTATAACACGGAACTTAATTCTTCTATCGTAATTTCTGTAAAGCTGTGCATAAAAAGCGTAAAAGTGAACACCGCTGTTTTTCTGTTTGATTTTACGTTCGGTAAGAAAAACGACTAAAATTTAAAATATTTACATTGTCAACTGGCGACAATGTTGTTGTTGTTGTTGTCGGCATAATTTTCTCAAACTTGTGTAACTTTTGTGGACACTTATCCGTTACATAAGCAATGCAACCGGAGAGACATTTGTCAAGAACACTCTCAGTACAGCAGAGTAGTTTTGGAATTTGATGACACGGAGGGAGGTTATTTTTTGCATATATAATAGTAATAACACCAAACATGTACAACACAATTACCAACCTGTAAAGTAACATAAAATTTTAATTACAGAGCATCTCAAATGATCCCCCAATGAAATTTTTAGCAGATGCAGTTCAGCTAGGAAATCAAGATTTGTTTCACCCGATCATCTCAGTTAAATTTAATAGTCTGTTATTACTCATCGTTATTACCAACAAACGAATTATAAACTTAAAAGTAAATACCTGATTAAGATATAATTTTGATAACATGATATTTTCAGTAAATAATGAAAGAAACCTATTCATCATTTTTTGCCAAACAATCCACTGTAGCTTGAAGAACAACTACAACTGGATTCACCGAACAAGCCGTTTGTCGAGTATGAGTCGTATCGATCCTGCAAAAATAAAATTCTTTCTTCACGGCCTTATCATTACAACACACAATCAGACAAATTTTAAGTTTCCAACAACATAGTCTAGCAAACTACTTTCTAAATTTGCAAAAAATTTTTTTGCAACTTATATGCCAAAAATGAAGCAACAGATGAAATCCAAAAAATTAGTTAATGATCATGTTTGGCGATGCCGAGAAATTGAAATTCAGTTTTTGGCAATAAAAACAAACTCTTTGGCGACTGCGTGACGAAAAGAGTCCGTCCTGTTGAATGTACGAGTCGCTGCTTACACCGCCAACACCGCGGGTTGACCAACTTCCACTGCCGCTGAGCCCTGTACCA